ATGGATGGATGGATGGATGGATGGATGGATGGATGGATGGATGGATGGAGTTCAGGTGTGTGTGGGGATCATTGTGTTACCACTATGCTGTGTCTAGTTTGGCCCTGAAGAAGTCAACATGCATCAGGAACTCTGGAGATGTTGATTCTGGTTTGCATGTTGTCTCCTCGTCATCAACAGGTCATCTCTGTTGGTAGATGTGAACAGTCCCTCTGGTAAACATGTTCCACTGTGTCAGACATGGAAAACATCCAGTTTCTTTGATCAAACACTGCTTATAAATAAAATTTATTGCACTTTGGTAAGAAAAAGGAAAAAGCCTGTTTATTTATTTTCCATTTTGTCATCAATAACCCCCAAAGCCAGAAAAAAAAACTTGGAAAAATATTTTCCATCACTTGTGTTTAAACAGTAAAACGTGTAGATTTGTAACATGACTTGTGTCTGCAGCAGATCCTGAGCTGTCTTCAGTGGACTGGGGAAGGAAGAAACACAAGTCAACTCATCAGTGGGTGACTGCTTCATGTTTTTTCTGTTTGGTTTCACAGTTAGAAGAAAATTAAAAATAAGGTAAAATAACTTTAAAATAACTTCTAACGTCTCATAGTGTATGATCAGGGCAGTGGAGTTATCCCAATTTTTTTAAATAAACAAATACATTTTTATATAAGCAAATATGTCAGCAATATCAGTGTGAAACAAAACACAAAAACATTTCTACATTTTCTTTAAAAAAAGACAAAGTCACAAAATTAGTGGCATGACAATAAAAGACATCTAATTTGCATGCTAATGACCATTTGCAATGATAAATTGGCTTAATCTCAATTAAATTAAATGATTGCTTAATGAAAACAAAAGGCTTTAAATCAGTTTTTAAAATGTGTGCAGCCATTCAATGGATTAATACATGATGAGAAATATGTGAGCCATCACATCGAAATGAGGATTAAGTCAAATTAGGTCAAAATGACCTAATTACATTTTCAGATTCTTGTCTTTAAAAGCTACATTTTGACACCTGGATCATCCTGATATCATAATTAAATCCATATATATGACTTCATTTGTCTTGTTGGTTACAATAATACATAAATA